TACTGCTACGTGACGTCAACAGCTTTTTACGGGAAGTTATATTCTGTACCTATATTTTTCTTGACATTTTACTGAGATTGAACTCAGATCCATAGAAACATTGAGTATGTTCACAGTCCATTGAATTATTACTTACATGCTTGGTAAAAATATCGCAAGGTTTGAAATCAGTCAGGCGGCGACACCTATTATTTTTGAAAATACATTTAATGAGCCATTTTCAACAAATCGGTTGACGAATGGGTCTTCGTTATTTGCGTTTCTATCCTTCCGAGAATTTACCACATATTAAATAAAGTCGGGAATGGTTCTTTGAATAAATCCCCATCATTCATGCACATATAAATTTGTCGTGCCAATGTATTCCATAATAATGAGTTCAGCAATGTATTAAATATATTCGAATTGTGCGAAGTGTTGGGGACAATTTTACCGAACAGGAGCCATGTTTATTAACAATCCGATACTGTGTGTGAAACGGTACTACATAAACGGGCAGGTATGTAGAAATATCACATCATTTAATTCACAGTAGTAATCATAAAAATAAACGAGGATTCAAGATCATCTAAAAATGATATTTTATGACAGGAATAATTGTTTATAGAACCGTATGGTTATGTGAATTTACTGATCTTCTCGGGGAGAATATTGTTCTATCGGATGGAGGGGGGGGGGGTCGATAAAACAAGTACAAGTTAAGTCAAGTTAAGATTCTTATTGGTAACGTTGTATAGTTTTTTTTTTTTATTGAATCTGATTCTGATTAGTGGATGACTGCTTTCTTTCATGTTAGCTTTGGGATTTTTGCCTCTTGATCTTAGAAATAAACAAACAGTGAACAATATACATTCTGATAAAACTCGATAAATACACACCAAAACCGTGCATTTCGGCCTATAACACGCTATCTGGGATATACCATAACATATACGTACGTCCTAAAAGAAATTGAATGATTGCTGTTGTTGTTGGCAGTTTTGTAATCAGTTGCAGACATCGGGAAGATGTTCAACGATTCCCCGACAAGTATGTGTCAGACTAATGAAGAAAAAAAGTACAGGCATGCACTAAGGTTGATGTGATAAGTCAGCATTCATCCCGAGTTCACGTACTATTTGTTCATCATTGTATCCACCGACAGGGCTCGCAAACCACGACTTTCATATTTTAAAGACGCAGAAAGACTGTGTAAAAGAAGGAGACAACGAGGCGTTACCTCAGCTTACCGTTTGGGTGAATAACTTGAAACTGAACTATCTATAACTATGGAGGAATGTTTATACCACCATGCTATAACGAACTAATGTGTATTCCTTTAGATCGAACCTACATCTATCTCCTGTATCTCTACAGTGTAAGATTTGTCTGCTAGCGCCAAGTGAGTCACAGTCCCTACACATCACGTGACGCCAAACAAATATCATTAACCACATTCAACAGGTGAAGTGTATTTTTTGTATAAAGTGAATTTGTTGTATACAAAGCATAGTTTGAGTAGTAGTCGTTTTGTACTTTACCTTTCGTTTCCTTGTCATTTTTTACTCATCCCCATCTATACAATTATGTATGGTGCAGTATGTTGCGTGTTTTGTAGTATGATCTGTTATAACGTTATAGTACAAGCGCTCTGTGTTCATTTCCTGGCACAACGTTGTCTGCGGTGTGTGTTATATGATCGTACAGTAACCTAAACTACAATCTGGACGTGACAGGACCACTCTTAATCAGATAAAATGCGTTGAATATACTAGTACTCGGAAATAATAATTTATAGGTTGTAGTTGAGTTTTTGAGTTACCTTTTTTGGACAGTGTAAAGTAGTGAAAAACATGTAACTATTTACCGACATTATTTGTCAATCATAGCGGAAAGACAACTCTCTGTGTCGTAATCAGATACCGGTGTTATAATATGCTCTCGGCTTCGAGCCAAACAATAAAAAAACACTATAATTTGAAGACATGCCATGGGATTCCAAATTGGTTACAATAATATAAACATCAATTGCAGTTTGTTATCGACGTTCACACAAATAATAATAATTATAATAATGATAAATTTATTGCACAACAGGATTAGTATGGGAGCCTGAGCAATATGGTAAATACTACCGACGCAAGCGGAAGTATTTCTTTGGTTTCGGTTCAGTTTCTCCTCCTATAATACTGGGGCTGTGGTGCCGGTCACTAAAATGGGTCACGTTATTCGGGGTCGCATGTGGATATCGCCGTTAGTTTTTTTATGAAAATCAACCAGGTCATGTTTATATCTATGTATCGGGCGACCACGATACGCGTACGCAGTACCAGAGTGTTCAGCTCCACTGTGTACGGCCGGGTACCCATACCTTCTATCAGTTATATAGACCACTGAGTATTGTACAGTATAAACAATTGGATCGCTACTAACTTGCAAAAACTTCTGGGAGCCACTTTTTCACACAAGAGCGATTACATGTTTGGGAAGAAATAAATTGAATAATTTTATTGTAAAGGTAACTTTACAGTGTTATTACCCATCCCACACCTGTGTGGCGGTAATATCAATGATATCACCGTGCTTTGGTTGCTGTGCAAAGTTACCGGTCACTATATGGGACGAGCATTATTATCTTCATTGTTACGAATGCACGTAGTTTGACGCATGCGCGTTAGTTGATCTCGCCATCCGGTGCAGACTTGTTGAATGTTAACAACAAAATAAACCGATGTGGCCGACTTCTGCCAATGACGTATGAAGTATTTATGTCGCTCTTTTTATCACGCCTAGTTCACGTGATCAGGAGAGACGGTGTTCAATAACAGGTAACCCTGACGTGGGTTTCGCGATGGCCAATGACCACTGGTCACACGAATCACCCCTGGGGACAACTTGAATCTAGTTATGATAGCAACAATATAGTATCATAAATGGTGTTAAATCGTTTTGCGTGTTTATACCTGCAAAGGTGATTTATGACGTATCTTTGAAATGCATTGTGGGATTGAACTTCTCCTACGCGCATTGGGTATATAGAGTCGATGTGATTTCGAATATTTACATTTTATCTCCCTGGGTTTTTTGGCGAAGCTCAAAATGACCCCCCCCCCCCCGCTCTCGGCATAACTAATTCATCGAGAAATGTTACAATCACGTTTCGTTAGCTAAATAATATCACCACATCCAATATTCTCGAGAGCCTGTGACGTCAGCACAAGCATGTCTGAACATAACACCAGATATGTAAATGAGTCATAATTATAGCCGCGACGCACCATTCTCACCAGAAATTATAATGCGCATGTGCGATCGGGTGCTGCAGTACGCGGGACACGGCATACCCCGTCAGTGCTTGCTGGGATGTCAAAAAGAAATTGCACCATCAGATAAAGAATTCTTGATAAATGTATATTACGTTAGTAATGATATGATACGATGGGCGACTGAACTAACTCGGAATGTTCCAGTTTTTAAAAAAGAAATTGAGCTTGAGTTCGTTTATAATCTTTAAAATACACTCTCCAAAAACGACACTGATTTGAGAATGTCGCCAACTTATATATAAGTAACTATGCTTGCGATACATTTGAACACTGGATCAGATGAATATATGAAGGACAGTGCAGAAGTAGTAAAACTTGTTTTCAGGGAGCAGGGCAATACGTTCGTTTTTTTGTTTTGTTTTCATAATTTTTATAAAATTTATAATTTGTTTTTAAAATTATATTTTCTGCGGTACTGATTATAAGTTGCTCCAGTTTTCAATGTATATCCTGGACGCCGAAAGCATTGATACATTTGAAAACAGCCACTGTGGCATTTAGATTTGAAATAATTATAACGAATCAACAGTAAATAACCGACTGTAATTTCGTAGCACCGCGTATGAACCTGGAGATAAAAATAAAAACACGTGTACGGCACAGAACACGGGTTTATACTTCCATGGACTTTGCCGTTTATCAGGGCTAAGTTCTTATTATTATGTGGTCTCGTTTTAATTCATATAAAAGTAAATCAACTTGCAATTAATGTATACAGAATTAGAAGAAATCTTCGAGATTTCATGTTTGAACAACAAAGAGAGTTACAGAATTTCATAGCACAAACGCAACTTCCTGTACATCTGTGATTTTTGAACGAATCGTCCAAGTTCCGCCTCTTTTTATCCTCTTTGGATTAACGGTGTTGAAATAGTAGACACAGCTTGGCTGTGCATTAATAGGTTGTCGTGTTTGAAGCAAAATTAGGATGGCCATCATTTCTATCAACAGCCCTGCCTATGATTATAATATCTTGGCACCGAGCCAACTGGCTTCGTTAGGGACTACTTTGTAAACGTGTATTGCGGAGTGAGAATTGGGTGAGAAGTCGGCGTAGAGTCATACCACCGTGAAACACCGACACAGACCGAACTCTGGTTTGTGTTGTTTTTTGCAGCATTATATAAAATAGAAACGACGCATTCATTTTAAGAAATATATGTGTAAATTGTATATTGGTATAGTCAAACACTAATGTGATATGAAATTAAATGTCCTGGCTATATGCAATGCCATTTAGACCCCCCATGGAATATTGTGCACGTGCACCCAACCGTAGATATCGCAAAACGCAATGTTACTAGCTGTTTCCACTTCCGTGCGAAACATCCCACCACCATACACCGAGGATTTTTTTACCATGTTTATCAAATGCATTTTGAATCATGTGATCTAAATCATACCTTAGCATGACTGTCTCCCAAAGTCGGGTTGCCCATGACAACGAAACGGCTACGAACTCATTCCGGAAATAAACGATCATTTCCGAAAGCTGATGTAGTGATGCACCTGGGTACAATTCATTTTAAAAGTTGAAAAATAATAAACTTTTTGTTTGCAGTTTAGTGAGGGGTTGTCCCGAAAGCACAACTAATTTGTTCAAATGTTCTAATTTTTCAAAGAGGACCATTATAGTTCGAGTTGTCCCTAAGCGACGAAGATTTCCGAAGGACACGTGACGTCATCGGGAGAAAGGAAGAAAACGGGCGCTGGAATATGGTGAGCCCTTTGTGATCCAGGTCTTCGGTGTACCTACTCTACTGACTATAGGTATACATGATCTCGTAGAATAATACTGTCGACACCTTCCGAGGTACCAAGGGAGCCCGTAAAAGGCGAATCATTGACAATGGCGGCAAATATGTACCGAGTTGGAGGTGAGTACCTATTATAAAATAGGGGTAGTCTCACAGCTTCACGATGTCGGGTGGGAAACGTGATCATGACCCATACCGAAACAGGGCGACCCTAAGACGCTACTATTTGTACGAGCCAACGAGACTCCCTGGGAAGGCAGGCCAACATAACAGACAATTACAACATATTTAATGGTATAAATCTGACCCATTTAAGGTTTCGATCACTTGACGACATTGGAGTGACTGAGTCGTGAAAAAAATGGTGGACAGTGACACACGTCACGGCGTGAAGCGGCCGCTCTCGCTTGCTCATCGTATTCACTTGGTGACTGTTCAGATCTATTTTTTACTGAATTTCAATGTATCTAATGTCTTTGTTTATCGAGTAGTTGGAAGATTCGTGACGATTTTAATAGCAAACGCCCGAAAACAGTCCCAATTCGCGTTTGTGGTACTACGTTGTGCCTCTTTGCGGAGTGATTTCTAGTGACCATCATCTAAACAACACGAACAATGGCTTCACATTTTTTGTCTCAATTTCTCACATTGCTCCCGTAGATTACGTATATTTCGAAACTTCCTCATCCCAACCGTACCTCATCAGAAGAATTGAAGAATTAAACAAGGTATGGTTCTTAAGCTGTGTATGATTGTGTGTACTTGTTATGTATATGTTGTTGTTGGCAAACTTAATATCATGGATATTTGATGAGTTCCTAACTTACACATGGAATGGCCATACTGATTAAAAATATTGTAACATGCAAAAATGTCTTTATGTTCTAGACCCCCAATGGCAATGTCGAAGCAAAAGTTGTATGTTTTTACCGCAGAAGGGATATTTCAAGTTCACTAATACAGCTAGCAGATAAACACCAAAGTGAGTATTATTTAAAAAATTATCATTTTATGCCACTTAGTATCATTTATGCTATCTTGAAGTATTTGTTGAAATTTATTTGTACTTGCTTAGTTGCATTTAGGCACCTTAAATAATTCTCTAGTCTCTCTTGCTGTGTCTCGAGGAAACTTTTTTGATTGGTCGATATTGTTGCATATGTAATGAGTTTGGTATTCGCTGTAACCTGATTGGTCGATATTCGCCAAATTTGTTATACAGTTTATTCATGATGCATTGGCACTAGTTTTGATTTCTATCCCTACATATGTGGTAAATTTGTTTTAGTGTCGAGAAAGTATCCTATTTTTATCATTGAATTTTGCTGTAGCAAATTTTTTTATTTTATTTTTTTTTAATTTTAAAAAAATTTTTTTTTTCTATTTGGAAAGCATAAATGACTTTTTTTTTTTAAAGAAAAATTGTCTAAATGTTTCATCTGCGATGGTGATCTGTCCAAAAGTGGGCATTTTGAGGGGTGTTTTGAAAAGAGCTTATGCCTTGGTATTTTTATTTTCACCTTGTGAGAGGCTCTAGAAAGTAAATGGTTCACTTTTAAATATGGCAACATTTTGTATGTAATACATTTGACCATTTTAGGACTTGATTAGTAACATTTTATTCTTAAGATTTGAAATATTAGTTCTCCTGTGTTTATTTATGACAACAGACTTTAAAACAGACAGCAAAATATATCACCTGTGCTCACTCTGTGTGTAATAAATGTAGTAAACAGAGATTTTTCTCTCAAAATTTACAAAAAACCTGGAGATTAATTAGTAAAATTTACATTGATATGTATATAGAAAATGTTTGCTATTATGAGTGTCGCCAACACCTTTAAAAAATAATTCGACTGAAATCACTATGTCAAAACAAATTTGCACAAATTCAATTGCTAATTCAATGTGGTCTATCTTGCTACTGTTGTTATCCAGAATGCTTAAATGATTTATTTCTTTGTATTGTGTGCATGTTTTAACGAAGAAGTTATTCATTACAATGTCTGTTTGAAATGGTTCTATTGTATTTATCATACAAATAATTTTGCAAATTGTTGCCAACAAAATGGTTTCAATTTCTGATGATCTGCGAGGTAGTTGGCCTCCATTAAAACACTCGAGATTGGTTTTATTTTATGCTTTTGTGAGTAAAAAAGGTTTCTTCATAATTTCATGTTTGACTAAGTGCCCATCCCTTTGGAAATACCCCATATTACACTGCCAAGTCATGAAACCTGGTTTAATATTTCCAAATAATTAAATTGTCCATTTTGACTATCGTTAATGAAGTAAATCAGAATTTTATACGACTTGTTGATCGCAGTGGAAGATATTAAACACTTCTTAGTTTTACTTATTAATAAAATTGGAAAAACAGTTTTTTCGTCATAATCAGTGCCAATAGATCATATTTAAACATCAAAAATTAATTTCAACATGGCATTGTAAATATTCAGAAATTCAAAAAACTGGGTCAATATGACGTAGCATTCTGATTGGTTAATAACAGACTTTGACCTATCAGGTCAGAGAGCATTGCTACATGTCTAATCAAGCAGAAAAAAACAATATCTTTTTTTTGTTTCAATATTTTTTAGTTTTCTATTATAAGGTTTAATACATCAATGGATAAAATTGTTCTCATATTTTGTGCATCTCAAAAAGCAGAGTTCTATTAGTAAACAGTTCACAAGTCGTGTCATCAAAACTCCATTTTGTCACAATTTGAAGAATAAGTCATGATACTTAGCTGTGATGTCATTAAAAAAAAAAATTTCAAGGTTATGACTGTTTCCTATATAGTAAATCAGAAATACTAATTTTTCTCAATGCATATCTGTATCTGTAATTATATTTCACAGCAAGGTTTCAGCTGCACCTAGATATCAAATGCAAAACTAAATTGCAGCATCTTGCAATTGTCTGCTTCTACAAATTGACATTTTGTCATTTACTAGTAGTTTTTATCTTGAGTGAATCATGTTTGGAATCCACTCCATTGCCAAGTGTGCTATAAATATAGTACTTATAAATAGATTAAATATGGAATTTGTGGAAATACTCAGGTTTGCTTCAAAGTAGCTCTCATCAAGTTGAATGTTTTATGACTGCAGGCCAGTGTCCTTGGGTTTTTTTATAATTACAAAACAATCATTGCGTGAACACCAGACAATATAAAATATTGCAATGGTATGAATTTGTTTGTGATAGTAGAAAAATGCTGTATAAGTGATTTGCTTATGTCAAATAAAACTAATACTGAGTAGGTGGACAGGGATTTTTATTTTATTTTTCCCAATGAATTGTACATGAAACAAAAAATATAATATTGGTGGAATACAGTAGCTCATTTGCATAGAAATAAATAATTTTTAAGCCATTTGCACAAAATAAATTTTCAATTGTCTTGATTTGATACCCAATGTATCTGTCTGTGCTCTTTGAAATCCAGATTTCCACTGTACTATTTCTATTGGTTGAGGTTATTAGTCCCCGTTTGGACGAAGTCCGAAAACGGGGACTTATAATTCGGTCTCCGTGCGTCCGTCCGGAGTCGTATCTCAGAATCCCTTGGACCAATTCCGTTCATTCTTTGTATGTGCCTAGTACTTTATGTGGGACATATGCACATGCAGTGGTTTAGCGATTCGATTCAAAATGGCCGACTGGCAGCCATCTTGTTTTTTGAAAATGTCGTATTTTAGACATGCTTTGTCAGTTTTCATTCAAATTTAGTACATAGATCATACATGTTAGGATACATGTCTCCAACTGTCCGTGAGTTCCTGAGTCTGTCCGTCCGTGCGTCAGTCTGTCCAGTCATATTTCAGAATCCTGTGGACCGATTCCGTTCATTCTTTGCATGTGCCTAGTACCTTATGTGGGACATATGCACATGCAGTGATTCGATTCAAAATGGCCGACTGGCAGCCATCTTGTTTTTTAAAAATGTTGTATTTTGGACATGTATTGTCAGTTGTCATTCAAATTTTGTACATAGATTACCGGTATACATGTTAGGATACATGTCCATGACGATTTATTTTGCAATTGGATCAAAGATGGTCGACTGGCAGGCATCTTGTTTTTGTTTTTTTATGCCCTATCTTGGACGTGCTCTGTCAGTTTTCATTCAAATTTGGCACATACATGTACTTTATGCATGTTAGGATACATGTCCATGACAATTTGTTTCAAAATCTGGTCAAGGATGGCCGATTGACAGCCATCTGACTTTTGGTCTTACTACTATATTTCCACAATTTATGTACCATTTTCATTTGTATTTGGCACATACATCATACATATCAGTGTGTTTCATAATCAGATCAAAGATGGCCGAATAACGGCTGTTTTTATTTTCATATTACTACTACATGGAACACGTGTTTTGATGTAAATAAACAATCTGTTGTATACAGCACTTGGAACTCAAATTTCAAGGACACGCTTGCGACAACCAATTTCAAAAATTTAACGGGGACAGTGTCATTTTTAATGACTTGTATTATCAAATTTGGCCTTAAAAATGTGTGCCCGCTCAACCCCAAAGTTCAAGCCCTGGAATGTGTCTTTTATAAAATAGAGTGCAATGTAGAGTCTCTGGGGCCCACCCCTTATAAAACGTGTGGGGTCCCTGCTGCTACCGTACTTTATTTTTCTAAAATAGTTTTTTGCACGAACTATTGCACAATAAACATAAACAGGCATTAATCACATTTATATTGTACTTCATTTACATGTTCATTCTACCATTTACATGTCAGCAATCTGCATTATTTACATGGTTTACTTCTATCTTTACTGTTATTAAAATTAATGCTGTTTGTACAAATTTTAAATCATTACTGGGTTTACCCTCAAGTTCTTCATAAGCCTAGATAAATGAGCTGGTGTCTGACTTAACTTAGACTTAATACGATTCTGACAAGAAAAGGCATGGCCACATAGAACCTGCCGGGAAGATCTTGCAAATAACTAATCGATCCATGGCTTCTAGAAAAGTGATTTTTTTTCTCTCATAGTTATATAATTAAATAGTTCATTGTTTCGATTAATATTGTTCCCAGAAAACAATACACCCAAAATTTGTACATACTAGTACTAGTACCAGATTCTGCAGTAAATTCGCCTCTGGGTTGTTTGAGTTTTTAAAAAAATGGGACCAAGAAATCAGCGATTTTTCGGCGGATTTTATTTAATATTTGTTATTTAAATATTTTGGCGTCATTTTTCGGACATTACAATCTTTCCTGACGCCTAAAATAGAGTTTTTATTCAAGAGTATGTTTTTTGTGACTAGCGTGAGTGCGTAATCTTTGTTTCGGTTTGAGTTGTTGTCACTGTAAACTATGTTAAATTTGTCTTCAAATGCTCAGTTTATCTTTCGAAAACAACTATTTTTTTATTTGAAAAAAAAAATCATGCCGTTTTCCCATAAAAATCCAAGCCAAATGATCATACTACAACATCGGCAAATCTCTTCCGCGTTCCGTTCAATAACATTAACATATTTAAATGAGTTATGGTAATTTGAACATGTTGGTGTCATCCAGCATTTTTATTGGTTAATTAGAGATTTGACCTATTAGGTCAACCATGCAAGACAAGGAACATGGCGGATACTCGACAGCATCGAGCGTTAATTTGCCACCGGAATTATTTGCTTACGACAAAGTGAAGTTGAATTTTATTTGCATTTCATAACAATTCAACAAATTTGTTTTTTTGTACGTTATTATAATCACTACTGCGTAATAATCAACAATTGTGAAACTCAGCATGACTGAATTGCGCAACCGTTATCATTTCTTGCTCGGCAGTTGTGTTTGTTTTTACTTTGTTTAGAATATAATTTCGTTACCAATAAAATTAGGAAAAAAAGTTGTATTTGACGTACCAGGTTCGTTAAAGTGTTCTTTTTGGAGAAAAATTACCCTGGGTGACATTGTAAGTTTTAGGCGATTAAATTAGCAGGTCACAGTGCATTCTACTTGTCTCA